CAGTGCCACGTCGGTCACAGTGCCACATCAGCAGTGCCACATCAGCAGTGCCACATCAGCAGTGCCACATCAGCAGTGCCACGTAAGCAACAGTGCCACATCAGCAACAGTGCCACGTCAGCAGTGCCACGTAAGCAACAGTGCCACGTCACAGTGCCACGTCAACAGTGCCTCGCCACCATGACGGGCCCAGCTGCCAGGCCAACTGGCCAACGAGTCTCTTGTAGACTACAAAGAGCGGTTCCAGGCTCAGCTCGCTCTGATCGAGGCTGAGGAACAGCGCCAGCTGGCAGCCGAGGCTACCCGCCTACAGGCTGAAGCAGCGGCAGCCGCTGAGAAGCAGCGACTCCAAGCCGAAGCAGACGCAGATACCCAGGCACGCCGCAAGGAGGCCCAGGATCTGCTGCAGCGGCATGAAGCCGCCAGCATCGAAAAACTAAAGTTCTGGCACTTTCAACCGTCCAACGGCGACGACGCGACACCGGAGGAGCAGCACAAGGAGTTCATGGCCAAACTCTCGACCAGGCTGGTTTACACTTGTAACCACCTGCAGTCCGAGCTGGCGAACCTCCAGCGGGCCGTGCGGAACCATAAGGCTCAGCACGAGGATGCCATACGGGCACTTGACGCCCGTGTACAGGACTTGGAACAAGTTCCACCAAGACCGGAGGCCGGTGAATCCAGCAGTGCACCATCTGCCCGCCAACTGGAGGAACGCGTTGACCACGTAGTGGCAATGCTAGGAGATATCAGTGCCTTCGCAGAGCCGGCCACCATCAGCCAGCGGTTCGATGTGTTGGACACCAAGATCAGTCAGCAACAGCAGACTGACCACGGCCACAACAACAGCTCGGCGAGGCCTTACAAGATGCCGGCGTTCCGGATCGAGAAATTTGATGATTATACACATCAAGACCCGGTCGTCTAATGGCAAGGATTTACAACGGAGTTGGGGATTCACGAGGTCCCCGACCATCTGTTCATCAGCACTCTGTTCATCAACACCAAGGGAGGATGTCAGATCTGGCTCAGCCACATGGCAACCATCCACGGCGTCCAGGTTTCAAACCTGTACAAGAAGGTCTCCTGGGAGGATATGACAAAGGAATGGAAGAAGCGGTTCATCGTCGACGACGCCCCGACACTCATCGTCAACCGCATCTTCACGATGACTCAAGGGAGCACACCGACACGTGACTGGCTCACGGATTGGCAGAAGATCGTGGCCACGCCCGATCTGGACTTACCATTTCCGCATCTGCACCGTGAGTTCTACAACAGGTCATGCGCCGCTCTCAGCCTCGCACTGGGTGATCGCGAGCAATACAATACTTTCGCAGAGATCATCAACAAGGCGAGAGAGATCATCAAGACCAACATGGCGGCTGCACACGAGAAGTCAACGTGGCAACCAAACTATGTGGAGAAGGTAAGAACTGGTCCACAACAGCAGCAGTTCGCTGCAGTCCAATCGGACAACACTGTGGAAGACCCGACAGCCACCCAAGAGTCACGTGAGGGAGATCAGGTGGCTGATGTCCAGCCGCGAAGCAACATCAAGTCCCGAGGAAACGGGAAGGCGAAATCAGCATCACCGGCTGGAAATGGACAGCCTGCACCACCATGGGTCAAGTTCGGCTTGACCGAGGCCGAGTACAAGTACCGCGGCCGTTACGACTGCTGTTATTGGTGCAACAACACCAAGCACAAGACCTCCGTTTGCCAGGATCAGGCCAAGGAGGATGTGCGGCCTCGTCTTAACTCGGGAAACTGAGTGTCGCGGGAGGTGAGGCGACTCCACCCCCCACTCCGCCAGATTCGGCCGCCTTGCTAGCGGCCTCCTACACATCTGGGGAGGATGCGAATGTCGGAAGTTCTCGGTATGCTTACGAGGACTATGCTGTCCACGTGGTCCCACCGCTGGACCCACCGCTCCACGTGCAACTATCTACCGCATGCACAGTTTCATCACCATCGGCAACCGATTCGGCAGCTTCGCCGCAATCTATTGCCAGGGATTCGACATCATGGTCAAGACTTGAAGAGCTTGACCCGTTGACGTTCACGGACTTCCAGTGGATGCCCGTTCCCCCGACCGGTCGATTGCCGAAACCGCATTGCAACGTGCTCATGGCACAATTGCGGGATTACTTGCACACTGCAGTACCGACTCCGTTGATGGACGCCGGAGCAGAGGTTGTCGACCTTCACGCCTGCATTGCGAAGATCGACCGCGAGTTCAAGACGCAACGGTACAACGACATCGACGCACCATTGTTATATGTACGCATTCAGATCAAAGAAGCGACCGGCAGCGCTTTGATCGATTGCTGAGCATCTGGCAACTACATGAGTCAGGACTTCATGGTACGTGCCGGCCTTGGCCCACGAGTCCGAAGGAAGTCCCAGCCCACGCAAGTCACGCTGGCGGACAGTCACACGCACAAGTCAATCGACCGGTGCATTGATGACGTCCCAGTGTACTTTGCCCCTCACACAAGTGAGGCGGTGTCCTTTGACATTCTGAACACCAAATTCGACATGATCTTGGGCATGTCATGTCTGCGAAGCGAGGATCACCCGGTGAACTTCTACCGCCACACCGTTCACGTTCGTGATCGGAACGGAGTACTAGTCCTATGCACGGTAGCTCCTCCTCACCCTTCAATCAGCTGTCACGTGGTGTCCGCCGCAAGCATGCGAGCTTCCATCATCAGAGACTACATCGAGGAGATGGGGGTGTGTTTTCTCCACGCCCTCCCGCCCCATGACGCTTCATCGACGGACTCATCTTCGGATCCACGCATCACCGATCTTCTCGACCCCTACAGCGACGTGTTCGAAGGCCCGCACGGAGTAGTACCGGATCGACCCATCCGCCACGAGATCATCCTCGAGGACGGGGCCGTACCTCCGCGTGGTTGCATCTACCGAATGAGCGAGGAAGAGTTAAGTGTGCTTCGGGCACAACTCGACGACCTTCTGGAGAAAGGCTGGATTCGGCCTAGCTCATCGCCATACGGTGCTCCTGTTATCTTCGTCTGGAAGAAGAATAAGGATTTGCGGTTGTGCATCGATTATCGCAAGCTCAACGCGCAGACAATCAGAAACGTCGGCCCTCTCCCACGCATCGACGATCTTCTCGAGCGACTGGGCGACGCCAAGTTCTTCTCCAAGTTCGATCTCAAGTCGGGATATCACCAACTCGAGATTCGGCAGGAGGATCGCTACAAAACCGCGTTTAAGACGCGATATGGGCATTTCGAATGGCTGGTTATGCCATTTGGCCTTACGAATGCCCCGACCACTTTTCAAGCGGCTATGATAACGGAGTTCCGACACATGCTGGATCAATACGTACTTATCTACCTCGACGACATCCTGGTGTACAGCCGGAGTTTGGAGGAGCATGTGGAACACCTGCGCACCGTTTTGGAGCGGCTACGACAAGCCAAGTACAAAGCCAACCGCGACAAGTGCGAATTTGCGCGGCAGGAGCTGGAGTACTTGGGACATTATGTGACGCCGCAAGGCATCCGTCCGCTTGCGGACAAGATCAAGGCCCTACGAGTATGGCCCGAGCCCACCAACACCACGGACGTTCGTTCCTTCATGGGATTGGGGGGTTACTATCAGCGATTCATCACCGGATACTCGAGGATTGCTGCACCTATGACGAGATTACAATCGCCAAAGGTGCCATTCGTATTCGATGACGACGCACGCCGGTCATTCGAAGCACTTAAGACGGCTATGCTCATGGCACCCGTCCTTAGCACTCTCGCGAAGACCTGACCTTTGCGCTATGACACATCATGCCTTCGCATTCGACGAGGAGCTTCAGCGACACTTCATCAGGGGCTATGAGTCCGATCCAGACTTCGCCACGCTATATGCGCAGCTATCTTCGGATCACCCGCCGGCCAGCCACTATCGCATCGTCGATGGGTACTAGCTCCTGCACTCGCGGGGCAAGGACTTACCATGTGTCCCACGCGACCGCCGTCTTCGGACTCGCCTTCTCGGCGAGTATCATGATTCGCGACTCGCTGGCCATTCCAGAGTCAACCGCACTATTGCACGGCTTCGACAGCGATTCCGATGGCCCGACCTCATCACCGACGTCACGAGGTATTGCGACTCTTACGAAGTTTGCCGACGAAGCAAACCCCGCAACCGCAACCCCTACGGCGAGCTGCACCCGATGCCGATCCCGCAGGAACCCGGTTTCTCCATTGCCATGGATGTCACCGGACCCTTCCCCCGCGACCGCCTCGGACACGACGGCATCCTCTGGGTCGTGGACCGATTGAGTAAGTACGCGCATTTTCTCCCTTGCAAGTACTACTCCACGGCTCCCGAGCTGGCACGCCTCCTGCACACCGGCTGGATTTGCGGCCATGGTGTACCGGAAGACATAGTCAGCGACCGCGACACTCGCTTCATGTCGGCATTTTGGACTGCACTCATGCAGGAGTCCGGCACGAAGATGAAGCCAAGTTCGGCTCGGCATCCACAGACAGACGGGCAGACGGAGCGGGCACATC